GAAGAGGATCAGGAGTGTCTGTGGGCCCGATTTTAAATGGGATAGTCAGGGCAACTTTCACTGAGATAACTTTTAACAAATGGCTAAAGGAACAGTACAATCCTGTGCTCTCTTGGGAACAAATCCCCTTTTTCACTGTCTGGGTGTCTGACTAGTCAAGGCATCCTTCTAAATCTCTGCATCCAAGAAGCCCAGAGCATTACCATCTGCTCTCATGTGTCTAGACATAATTTTCCCTCCATCAAGATAAAATCACCATCCTGAAGCTGTTCCATATAAAAAGCATCATATAAACCCCAATGCTACCAAAGAGTCACGTTCTCCAATTTGTCAGGATAAAGTGAGCCTTTCAGATGGTCAGGTCTCCTTCTCAGGCTCCTGGGATGGAATCATGCACCGCTCGCCATGCAAAACTGGCACTGGCGAGGATCCAGGAGGATACTCATAATGCATTTGTCTTCTGAAAACCACTAGAAAGACTCCAGCTCCTATAATAAGATGGCTGAGTGGTAGAATGCCCTGATGGGCAAAAATTTTACCTTCTAGGATGAGGCCTGATTCCATTCTCCTCCAACCATATCAGCCACTGAGTGACCATTCTCCCAGAGATCTCCCCTGGGCCTCTGCAAGAATGAATGCATATGATTCTCTGGGGGATCAAAGAGAGAAAGATCCTCTATCCCTCCCCTGAAGGGGATGTCAGCCACTGCTATTGCTTTAATGAAACATGGAGTTCAAAAAAAAAAGGCATCTGAAGTCAAAAACAGAAAGCAGCAAAGCCAGGTATACACCGCAATCTACAACCCTCCTGCTGAATTGATACTGTTTCATGACTGCCCACTTTGATACCAGAAAGATAATCGGCAGAAGCCTCCACACAGAACTCCTCAATCACAGCCTGAGAAATGAAAAAATCAGATCTCAAGAAAGAAATATTTCTCCACCCTACTAATGTTGCTTATATGTAAATGTTTAGAAGAGACATCTATAAAATATATATATATACATATATATATATGTCTGGGTCATTGCCACCGAGGAATAAGGTAGAGATCAAACATCTAGCCATTGAATTAATTTAATCAGGACCAAAAAAAACTAACAAGTCAAGTCCCTAAAGAATTAATTATGCTTGCTTAGTGGGTAATTAAGACAGTGTTTAAACAATTTAAACTCAATCTTACATATTTACATAAATGCTTTAATCCTCTGTTTTTCAGTCACACTATGGCTGGAGAGCTGTTGTTGTTTTTTTTTAAGTGGGTTGGATTCTTCAGTCATCCAACTCAGTATTTTTCATAAACAAGACCTAAAGTTTCCAAGTATTTTCAATGTAATTTCAATTTGAATTACAGAATTCCAGATAAATTCTGCATGTATTTAAATAATTGAGCTTTGGATTTCCTGTTACTCTATAATTCATAACAAATCTATTGGGAATTTTTCAGTTTGAAGAAGATACATTTTAGCTTTTTTGTCTTTAAAATAAAATATTTTCTTTTAATTGAACTATTCTTTTAAACTAATGCAAACATATGGTTTTAACATCAACTAGAAGAATAATGACTATATTAGTCAGTTTTCCATTGCTACAATGAAATAACTGAGGCAGCTAACTTTATAAAGTGTTAAAGGCTAAAAGTCCATACAACATAGCATAGGTTTAGCTTCCACCCTTTGGCAATATCATCTCATACAGTCATTTATTACATGAGTAGCAATGGTAGCTGAGAGCAGGAGCAAGCAATTATGTCTTGAACCAGTAGCAAAAAGAGACTGGAGTCTTCCATCATCTTCCAAAACCACCACCCTAGGGACCAGGCCTTTGCATATGGACCTTCAGGTAAAACTCAATATTCAAATGATAGCAATTACCACAGCATTTTTCTTTTTTGAAATGTTTCCAAATTAACATCACCTGGGATAGGCTTGGAAATAACCTAGTCTAGAAGTTCTTATCTTCTTTGTTGTCGAATGCCCGTTTTGAGAATATTGTAGATGTTATGAATCCTGTCCCAAGAAAATCTATGTACAGATAATTTGAGGGGATTCACAGATTAGGATAGGAGCTCTGGAAAATCTACATTTAAAAACATGTACTCCAGATCAAAACTTTAATTTTATCTTAGGTGCTGAGGATTAAACCCAGGTCCTAGTGAAGGCTGTATGTGTGCTATGCCACTGAGTCACACACCCAGTATCCTTCTCTTTTTTTTTTAAATAAAACGTCTGTGGCTCAGAAAAAGAAAGGAATATTCAAAGTCAAACCAGTAATTAAAATGAGAAAGCAAGATTAGCCTCAGCTAATTCCCAGAATCTGTGCACTTCCTACTATGACACATTGTTTCTCTGAGGAGAAAGGGTAAAGGATGATTTCTCATAATTCTCTTGCGTTCTCACAAGTTTTACTCCACTCTAGAAGCACATAGAATGGTATTTTCCCTGTTAACCATAGGATAGTTCGTGCATAAGGGGACAAAATAGGAGCTTATTGGTGAATTTCCTTTTCTTAGAGGTTTATAAAGGATCTCGACATACAAAAATCTCTGAAGTGGTCCCGCCTTCATACTTCCCACACAGGCCTAGAATAAATGCCATTCCACTTCACAGCAGCTTTATTTATATAATAAATCATCACAAAATCGAACAGGTGCAAACAACTTTTCCTGACTATGGTTCTGTGGGCTGACTGGGTTCCGTTGGGTAAAATTTTCTTGGGACTCGTCATACTCCTGCAGTCAGATAGCAGCAAGGGCCGGACTCATAGGAAGACTTGAATGGGGACAGAAGTTGATGCTCATTGGCAGCTGGAAGCTAATCCAGAGCTGTCAACCAGGGTACCTAGTTGCAGTTTCTCTAATTTACTTGAACTTCTCATAAGACAGTGGCTGAGATCTTAGAACCTCCCAAGAGATCCAGCGGGAAACTGCAAGGTTTCTTAAGACCTAGATTTAGAAATCCCAGAACGTCACTTCCACTACATTCTGTATTGGTCAAGCAAGTCATTAAGGCAGCCTATATCCAGACAGAGGGGAATGAGATCCCACCCCTTGATGAAGGAGCACTAAAGAACTTGTAACATTTGATTTGATACCTATCAAAACATTTGTTGGGACTGGGGTTGTAGCTCAGTGGTAGAGCACTTGCCTAGCATGTGTGAGGTACTGGGTTATATTCTCAGCATTGCATATTAATAAATAGTAAAATAAAGAGATCCATTAACAGATATATCTATCTATTTATATCTATATCTATATATCTATATCTATATATATATATGTTGTTTTGTATTATACCACCTGTTTATTAGAATGCCTCTCATTAAATTATAATTTGAATGTGGGTAGCATCAGTGTCTCATTGCTGTACCCTAGTTGGAAACAATCAGTTTGTGAGTGAATGAATGAAGTAATAAGTGAGAGTATGGCACTGAGTGGAATGAGAGAGTAGGATTATCTTTAAGAAGTTTAATTATGAAAAGACTATATAGATTGATGAGGTCTTTTTAAAAAAGAAATTGTATTCATCAATGAAATATACTTGAGCATGTTCACATACAGAAAGAAAAGAGCCTCTTGAAAGCAGATAAAATTATAAGGAGAACAGACGGTGAATAGGATCAAGTTCCTTATGAGATCAAAAGAACATGATCCATGGCACGGCAGAGGGATTGACATCTCCACTTATACTCCAAGAGGATAGAAAGGCTGGGCACAGCAGAGAGAAGCTCGTGGGCAGAAAGAGGGGCACAAGGGAGTTTTGCCTAAAGCTTAATCCCCTTGAACCCAGTAAGAGAGTGAAAGGAAAGTAGAACTGCATCCCAGCTTTAAATGTCCTTATTTCATTCAATTATCTAGTCATTCAATCAATATGCCAAGTGCAAAACATTGTGCTTATAGGCTAGTGATTTCTTCCAATAATGGAGTAAGCACATCAATTCCTGAATGTTCCAAGGAGCTCTTTGATCTTAATTATTGAGTTAAAAAAAATTGAAAACTGATCATTTATGTGCACATTACTTGGAAGCAAGACAAATTTGGAAAGTTCTTAATATACCTCACTACTACCTACCATTCATCCTCCCATAACTCCCATATATTACCATGAAGCTACAAAGAAATTCATAGTTGAAATTAATTTCAGAAAGGACCTAGTAGGTAAGATTAGGAGATTTATTAAATTTGATTAATAGTCAATGACACTTTTAAATAAAATGCATTCTCTAAAGCCTCCTTCCAACCTGTGTCTGAAGGCCCTTTTCATTCCCTAATGAACTCACATTTTATTTTGCTCTTAGTTTGTTAATTAATTAACGAACGTTCCTTTCATTTTCAAACATCAGTCATATCATTTGTTAACTTAGAACACAATTATGATAATTACCTCATCCTGAGTACTAATACACACATCCTTCTTCTTTTTCTAGTTGGTTTCTGGTATTTTACTACTTAGTTATCTCATTCCTCAGTATATACCCAAAGGACTTAAAATCAGCATACTACAGTGATGCAACCACATCAATATTTATAGCATCTCAATTCACAATAGCTAAACTATGGAACCAACCCAGGTGGTCCAACAGATGAATGGATAAAAAAAATGTGGTCTATATACACAATGGAATATTAAGCCATAAAGAAGAATGAAATATGGCATTTGCTAGCAAAAAGATGAAACTGAAGATTATCATGCCAGGTGAAATAGGCCAATTCCCATAAAACCAAAGAACAAATCTTCTCTCTGATATGCTGATGCTAACATTCAGTGGGGGGGGGCGGGGAAGAATAGAAATTCATTGGATTAGACAAAGGAGGATGAAGGGAAGGGAGGGGAATAGGAATAGGACGATATTAGAATGAATCTGACATAACTTTCCTATGTCCATATATGAATACATGATCAGTGAAACTCCACATCATATACAACCACAAGAATGGGATCCAGGAGTAGATATGTCAAAATACCCTCTACTGTCATGTGTATCTAAAAAGAAAAAGGACGGCGGGAATCTAGTTGTTGGCGGGTGTCTAGGCCTCTGCGGAGGCGAATCCGGCGGGAATCGGAGCCATCAGAACCGCCACCATGACTGTGGGCAAGAGCAGCAAGATGCTGCAGCACATCGACTACAGGATGAGATGCATCCTGCAAGATGGCCGGATCTTCATTGGCACCTTCAAGGCTTTTGACAAGCATATGAATTTGATCCTCTGTGATTGTGATGAGTTCAGGAAGATCAAGCCAAAGAACTCCAAACAAGCAGAAAGGGAAGAGAAGCGAGTCCTTGGTCTGGTGCTGCTTCGAGGGGAGAACCTGGTCTCGATGACAGTAGAAGGAGCCCCTCCCAAAGATACTGGTATTGCTCGAGTGCCACTTGCTGGAGCTGCTGGGGGCCCAGGAATTGGCAGGGCTGCTGGCAGAGGAATCCCAGCTGGTGTTCCTATGCCCCAGGCTCCTGCAGGTCTTGCTGGACCAGTCCGTAGGGTTGGTGGGCCATCCCAACAGGTGATGACCCTGCAAGGAAGAGGCACTGTTGCAGCTGCTGCTGCTGCTGCCACTGCCAGTATTGCAGGAGCTCCAACCCAGTACCCACCAGGCCGTGGGGGTCCTCCACCACCTATGGGCCGAGGGGCACCCCCTCCAGGCATGATGGGCCCACCTCCTGGTATGAGGCCTCCTATGGGTCCCCCAACGGGGATTCCCCCTGGACGAGGGACCCCGATGGGCATGCCCCCTCCAGGAATGCGGCCCCCTCCCCCAGGGATGCGCGGCCTTCTTTGACCCTTGGCCACAGAGTTATGGAAGTAGCTCCACAGAGGCGTGGGCCAGATTCCCCAGGGCCACGTTACCACAGACCTGTTTGTTTGTTATGCTGTTGCTCGCGGAGTCTCACCGGATTGTCTGGTTTCCCTTACAGGGCCCCCTCCCCCGGGAATGCGCCCACCAAGGCCCTAGACTCATCTTGGTCCTCCTCAGCTCCTTGCCTGTTTCCTGTAAGGCTGTACATAGTCCTTTTATTTTCCTTGTGGCCTATGAGACTGGTTTATAATAAACTCTCAAGAGAATATTGCAAATGCACCTGATGTATCCATTTGTAAGCATCCTTTGATATATTGGGTGCTTAATAATTAGAGTCAAAAGGGTTGCCTTGGAAAAATTAGCCCTAATCTTACTTGCTTCCCTGTAAAATACTTTACTACACCATTGCATCTGATACATAATAGTCCCATAATAAGAGATTTGCAAAATTGGACCATATGAAACATTTTCTCTCACCAAAACTCAAAAAACTTCAACTTGTTGAAATAAACATTCATATGCTGTTGGTAAAAAAATAAATAAATAAATAAAATAAAAAAAATAAAAAGAAAAAACTTGAAATATCAAGTAAAAAATTGTAATATATATATATATATGTATATATCTTATTTGTTCAGTTAAGTATGAAAATGGTATCAAAATTATCTTTGAAATAAGAAGGATATACATTAATTTTTAAAGAATGACTGAATACAAGTATTACAGTGAGCTGGCCACAAAGAGTCCATGAGCCTGGATGCAGTGCTTGTCATACATGGAGCTGAACATACTCCAAGAATGATGACAACTGGAGTCCAAAAATTGCTAAAGGTCATATAAAAAGTTAACCCTTGAGAGTTCTCAAGTATGCTAAAGTGAAGACAGGCTTGTAGAATTCCAGAAAACACCAAGCAGTTCAGGAAGAGCTGCCCCATGATTCCTATCTTTATACAAAAGCTGATCTGATCCCTTAGAATTTATGTTACCCCCTGAAACTATAGGCAGAATACATTGTTTGAAGCTAAGGTCTCAAATGATCTCTAAAACATAAAAAAAAAAAAAATCCCTAAACTTAGAGATTCAGTTACCAGATTTCACTGCATAATCATCACCACCACATTTACATCTATTCACATGAGTATTCTATGCATTTTAATTGTGCCCCAAATCAGTGTAGTAATAAATGAATTTTAGTAACATTAGCACAATTTAAAAAAAGAAACCTTCACATAATAGTCACAACCCACTTTTTTGAAAAAAAATTGGCATAAAATCTGTGATACTTATGTGGTAAAGTACAATACACACAATTCATGAATTTATTTATTCAATAACTATTAACTGCACTTGTCCCTTGTCATCCACAGATGATTGACTCTAAGGCCCCTATGGATACCAAAATCTGCATATGCTCAAGTCTACTTTATATAAAAAGAATAATATTTGCATAAAACCTGGCTATATCTTTCCACATACTTTAAATAATCTTTAGGATAGTTAAAATTCCTAATACAACGTAAATGCTATGTAAGTCCTCATGATATTATATTATTTAGGGAATAAAGAGGAGAAAAAGTCCATACATATTCAGTAAAGACTCCCATTTTTCTCTCAAATTTTTTTGATATGTAGTTGGTCAAAGTTGAGGATGCAGTAACCATGGGAACAGAGGATTGACTGTACTATGAATTGGGTACTGGACAGGTTACTTGATAAAAGGAAAGGATTTTGACCTTATGGGGCCAGATATTTGGTAGGAGGGAGTGACTCATGTATTGGGTTAAATAGTGGCTCCTAAAATATGCCCATGTCCAAATCCCCAGAAACAGAAAATATTAAATTTTATGTTAAAGGATATGATTAAGTTAAGGATCTTTAGAGGTGATACTTGTCCTGAATTATCTGGGTTGATCCTAAATACAGTCACATGCATGATTACAAGAGAAACAGAAAGATGTTAGATGGACACCAGGGGATAAGGTGACATAAAGATGGAGGCAGAGAGTGGAGTGACGCACACAGCAGCCACAGAACATGAGAGCGCCTGCAGAGTTCAACTGGGGAAAATTTCCTCCTGAAGTGCTGGTGGACACTTAAAAGCATATTATTTGGAGTCCTTTTGACTGCATTGCACCAATGACTAAATGAAGATAAGCCTTCCTATAAACTGGGAACGCTCATCCTGAGGATGGGCCACCACGCCCAGCTAACTTTGAACAATGGTTAGTTGTTTGGGGGTTCCTGCCACTTGCCCACAAAGAGTTTGGAAAAACTGTAAGTTGCTTTCCTCAAGTGGTCGCATCTGTCCCATAGAGGTTCCGCCCTCAATCTCTATTGTACGTGGTTTCTGAGTGTGCACATGGCACACCTGCTTCAGGTAACAAAGATGGGCACATGGGCCAGGGTAGGCCAATTATAGAACCTCAATTCCTGATCACACTGATTGGTCCAGGAAGAAAGGGTCTGGCCAAGTCCATAGTCCTTCCCCCAAATTTTTCAAGTAGAACCTAACAGAGATATGCTATTTCCTCACTGATTTCCAAGCATTGGGCTATCAGCTTCCAGTCGCCATGATCTATGCTGAAAGGAAAAGATAACTCAGAAACAGAAGTAAATGAGGTCAATAAGCAGAGATGAGAGATAGGCAGAGATGTACCTAGTGATTTTCAAGACCACAATATCATTTACTGACATAAATTATTTTTATTAGAACATTATATTAATATATATAATAGATTCATTTTGACAAAATTTTTACACGTGCATGGAATTTTATTTATTCTATTTGAGTCCTCACTGTGTCCTCCTTTCCTTCCTCTCATCCCTCTCCCTTTTCTCCTTTCTTTACTGGTCTTCCTTTTATTCATTTATTTATTTTTGATTGGTGCTTTATAAATATGCATAAAAGGGAATTCTCTGTGGTATATTTATATGTGAATGTGCTGTGATTTTGTTAAATTCATTCTACATTTCATCCCCTTTCCTATCCTTTCTCCCTCCCTTTGGAAGTCTTTCTTCTACTCCACTGATATTCCCTATACCCTTATGATATCAGATTCCCTCCCCTTTTGTTCCCCTTATTTTGCTCAAGCTTCCACATAGGAAAGAAAAGCATCTGACCCTTGATTTTCCAAGTCAGTCTTGTTTCCGTTAGCAGGACAGTCTACAGTTCTATTTATTTACCAGCAAATGCCATAACTTTATTCTTCTTTATGGTTGAGTAAAACTCCGTGTGTATTTGTACCACATTTTCTTAATCCATTCATCTACTGATGGGCATCTGGGCTGGCTTCATAAATTGGCTATTGTGAATCATGCTGCAGCTGTAATCACTTTAGTATGTTGATTTTAGTTTTTTGGGATAAATATCAAGGAGTGGGATAGCTGGGTCATATGGTGGTTCCATTCCTAGTTTTTTGAGGAGTCTCCATACTGCTTTCCAGAATGGTTATACTAATTTGCAATCTTACTAATAACGCATGAGTGTACCTTTTTCCCACATCCTTGCCAGTATTTACTATTGTTATTTATATTATTGAGAATTGCCATTTTGACTGGAGCAAGGTGAACTCTTAGTGTGGTTTTGATTTGCAATTTTTCCCCAATCATTTGAGATGTTGAACATTTTTTTCCTATATTTGTTGGCCATTTGTGTTTCTTCTTTTTAGAACTGTTGGCTTAATTATTTTGCCCATTTATTGGTTATGTTATTTGCTTTTGGGGTGTCAAGCTTTTTGAGTACTTTATATATTCTGGATATTAGTTCCCTATTAGAGGAGCAGATGGCAAAGATTCTCTCCCATTCTGTAGGCTCTTTCTTCATGCTCTGAATAATTTCCTTTGTTGTGAAAAAGCTTCTTAATTCAATGCTATCTCACTTATTGATTTTTGGTTTTCTTGTGCTTTGGGGATCTCCTTGAGGAAGCTGGTGCCCACAAAATATGATGGAGTGTTGGCCCTGTGTTTTCTTCTAGAAATTACAGAGTTTCTGGTCTAATTACTTTAAAATTTTTGGTCTACTTTAACTTGACTGTTGTGCACAGTTGAGAGATGAGTATCTACTTTCATTCTTCTACAAATGAATTTGCAATTTTCCCAGCACCATTTGTTTAAAAGGCTATTCTTTTCTCCAGCATATATTTTTGGCACCTTTGCCAAGAATGAGATGATTGAAACAAGGTGGGTTTATCTGTATCTTCTTTTCTCTTCCACTGGGCTTTGTGTCTATTTGAGTGCCAATACTATACTCTTTTGTTACCATAACTCTGTCATATAATTTGAGATCAGGTACTAGGATGCTTTGTCTATTCTGGCTCTGCTATTCTTCCAAATGAATTTTAGGAAGGTTTTTTCTAGTCTGTGAAGAATGTCATTGGTATTTTTATGTAAATTGCATTGAATCTGTATATTGCCTTTGGTAGTATGGCCATTTTGACAATGTTAATTCTGCCTGTAGGACTTTCTTCAGTTCTACAAGTTACCCATACCTCTTCCAATGAATCCCATTTTTGATATAGGTAGATTAAATTGAAGTTCTATCACTTGCAACCAAAAGAATTCTGAAAGATATACACAGTTCTTTAGTGATATGACTGCATCTAGACCAATGGAGAACTGAGGGTAGATTCTCACACACTCTCATGAGGTGTTTTGTATATTCATGCTCCTGGGGTTAAAGGCAGAAGTTAATAAGATTATTACTAATAACCACCATCATTTGTGGAGAACTTAAGGACTTTCACAAATTAGCTCCTTTCTGTCCTCAGAGCTCTGTGAAGTAGGTAATACTACTTACATATTACAGAAAAGTAGACTGAGGCTTGAAGAGATTCCATAACTTATTAATATTCACAGAGCTCATAAGCAGAAGAGAATTAACACATAAATTTTTCCTATTCCAAAACCTGGGTGTTAGGCTACTACTCTGTCCTGTGATCATGGTACCTACATAAGGCAGATTAAATGTCTCCATCATCCTGTTGTTTCAAACTGTGATGTGAAGAAGGTTCAGCATTTCTGTAGGCATTTCAAAAGCCCCCAGGAAACGGAAACAGTGAGCTAGCTCTGGCTGCTTTATCTCATTCTCTTTAACTTCTACCAAAGAGAGAGAGAGAGAGAGAGAGAGAGAGAGAGAGAGAGAGAGAGAGAGAGAGAGAGAGAGAGAGACTTACTTTGCCTAAAGAATGTTCTAGGTCTTTGCAGGTTGATATAAATTTGGGTAAAACGAAAGAAAGAAAGAAAGAAAGAAAGAAAGAAAGAA